ACAAATTCGCAAAAGAACATTACTTTTCTAATATATTATATATAATTTTTTAATATGCACATTTTAGAAGTATTTATTGTACATTTCATTATATCACAATTTTCTATATCATGAAAGAATTAAATGAGTTAATATCCGTACTAAAGCTAAATAAATTAAAATCACGAATATTTCGCAGATGAGTGGTTTCTGATACCACATGACAAATTGCTCAAGTGTTACTATCCGTATACGATTTCATACATACATATAAACTAACATATTTACGCTAGCGGCATTTAATCTTCCGCGGATTCGAGAGACCGCGAGAATATGTCGAGCAGTAACTCAAACGATTTATCTATATATCGAAAGCTGGAAGGTTCTAAGATTCCGTATCAAGCAAACTGCAAAAGACTGACGGACATCACCGCTAAGTCACTCGCTTAATGGAGAGAAACGAGAAATGGAAGGAAGCGCGTATGCGAGAGAAAGAGAGAGAGAGAGAGAGAGAGAGAGAGAGAGAGAGAGAGTGTGTGTGTGTGTGTGTGTGTGTGTGTGTGTGTGTGTGTGTGTGTGTGTGTGTGTGTGTGTGTGTGTGTGTGTGTGTGTGGGTGTGTGTGAGTTGAAACCGCATAAGTAATTGAAATGTTTCGAAGCCGTCCATGTGGAACGCTCCGTTTCGGGGTATACGTATGTTCAGCCTCCGCCTGCAGCTATACGACCAGCATGATGATAAGAGAAGCTTCCCTCTCAAGAAGACTTCAAACGCGTCGGCCAATTCGCCACGGCCACGAACTTCGGGGGTAGTTTCTGTTCTCAGCCGCATGACTGGTCCAGCAAATCTTACGTCACGTTTTCCGTCGTCGACTCCGATTGATCAAAGGAACATTGCCAAATGACCGGGCGGAATACTACTCTTCTTTCCTTTTGTGCCTGCCATATCAATTAAGATTTCCGTGAGAATCTGCGTAGAAGTTTTTCTTTGATCAACTGCGCAATGCCTCGTCGGACGATGTTTTGGACTGCCCTAGATATAAAATTATATTTTTCTATAATGTTATATATATATATA